CACAGCAGCAGTTTTGCCCACCTCTAGTAAAAACAATTACCGAAAAACAATCACACTCAAACAATTATTTAAACATGGTTATAAAGAAAGTAAATTGCATGAATTTCTAAAACTACACTCATGTCCATAAATTAAGGATAATTCAGAATCACACTGAAATCAAACTCTAAAATTAAAATTTCACCTGTAGAATTATCACACACATCCTGAAGAAGAATGCAAATTACAGGAAACCACTAGATGACACTGGTAGTACGTCACGATGACGAGAGTGTAAGAGAGATGTATATAAGGAATGGTGGCAAAGAAGTAAAATTGTTTAAAGCGCTTTAGAAGCCTTTCAGTGCAATAACCGCATAGTTATGGCACAAAGGAAGCATTTGGATGATTTTTTACGTGGCAGAATCATCGGACGACTGGAATGTGGACGTACCCAGCTGGAAGTATCCGAGGAACTTGGAATCACCCAGAGTGTCATCTCCAGGCTTTGGCAACGATTCCAAGATGATGGTAATGTGAGTAGACGTTACAGCACAGGTCGCCCCCGAGTTACAACGCCGAATGAAGACAGGTATTTGGCAGTTACTGCCAAAAGAAACAGACGGAGCAGAGCATCAGACCTGTCTCGTCAGCTCTCTTCAGCTACCAGTACGACAGTTTCAAGGCAGACCGTGTACAGACGCTTAGGGCACATTGGTTTATATGCTCGTAAGCCTGTCAGATGTGTTCCACTTACCGCAACTCACTTACGCCTGCGATTAGCCTGGAGTAGAGAGCATGCATTGTGGACACCGCAACAGTGGTCTTGTGTGATGTTTTTCGGCGAGTCCAGGTTTAGTTTGCAGTCTGATTCTCGCCGGACTTTCATATGGAGAGCGCCAGGTACCCGTTACCACCAAGACAACACCATTGAACGACACCGTTACGGTGGTGCAGGATGGCTCGTTTGGGGAGGAATTATTCTTGGTTCCAGAACTGACCTGCATGTTCAGAGTGTAACGATGACAGGCCACATCTATAGGGATGTCATTCTGGAACAACATGTACGTTTGTTTCGGGGCGCCATGGGTGCTGAATTTCTGTTTATGGACGACAACGCCCGTCCTCACCGTGCAAACATTGTAGACGAATGCCTTCAATCGGAGGATATCACCCGTATGGATTGGCCAGCATACTCACCGGACTTGAATCCAATAGAGCATGTGTGGGATATGCTTGGCCGACGAATTGCAGCCCGTCAACCCCCTCCCACCTGTCTACCGGACTTTCGGAGGGCATTGCTTGATGAGTGGTGTAATATTCCCCAAGATCAGATTGATAATTTGATACTCAGCATGCCTAGGCGTTGTACGGCCTGTATTGCATCGTCCGGGAGACATACTCCGTATTAACCATCATACTAACCATGTTATACTGTTTTTTGTAAATAGGTTCTTTTTTGAAATTTGCTCCAGGGAGTAAAAATCGCAATTTTTATTAATTATGTCAAACATATAGCATCTTTTTTTCTCTTTATCTTTTGTTTAATACATAGACTTTACAAATAAGTCAAATTTGTTTGGCTTCTGTCTCTTTCTGTGCCTGAACTTCATTACCCTTAATTTATGGACATGAGTGTATATATAAGAATAGTTTTAAGTATACTATAATTCTGAATATGGTTGTGTCAAACATAAATGGGTGTTACCCGTCAAAATTGCCCGGATCTGGGTACCCAGCATTCGGTCTTGAGACTATATAACCGGTTTTGAATAACCGCTAATTCATACGAAGAAATATGTCTCTTAGTTTAGTTGTTATTATTGTTCTTTACTTATAAACAGGGCTCGTGAAATACGTTTGATAGATCACCACAAGTGACCTATAATAAGGTTCCCGTGGATCTTGAAAATTTTAAAAAGTGGTAATGAAAATAAAACAAATTTCGTTACTTTATTTTTGTGTAAAGAACACAAATTTTTTTTCCAAAGAAAATATATATATATACAGGAAAATTACAGCTTCTAACCAACTTAACGACAAAGTGGTACATTAAATTAAGAAATATCTTCTAATAATAACCTAAATTTACTACAATTACTAATACTTTCTAAGAACAGCTGGAACCCTGCATAGGGTTGTAGTATATTCGTTTTTTTTTTAAATATTTATCTGATTTTTTTTTCTCTCAGAATTGAGTTCGAACGATACTCTTTTTTCAACAGTCATCACAGACAAAAGTCCTATTTTTACTTATCTTCCCACAGTCACGTATTTTTCAAATTTCCGATTCTGACGTTTGTAATAATAATGTGAATAGAAATTCAAAAAATCACGTCGAAACTCTGAGCAATAACTGAAGCATTGCGATCGAAAACCACTCAAAATTATTATGAAGTCATGTTTTATATACTACTCAATTGGTTTATACATTTTTAGTGGTAGATACTTTACAGTTTTGTATTTTATTTTAGTTTATAACCGTCGTTGAAGACAAGGGAACTCCTGGTTCAAGGCTTGCAAGAAAATGTGCCATTGTAGAGGACTTTCTGATGTGGGGTTTTTCTTTTTTATTTTTTTTATATTTTTAACATTTACGTTGCATAGAAAGGAAAACCACGAAAATCTACCACGGTTAGCCTCACAGCAAGGAGAGTCTAACCCATGATCTGTCTTTCACTGAGGACATTTTACGTCAGCACTGGGGTCGGTGCGAGCCGGGTGTGGAATTCGTATCGACTAGCCATCGCTGGGATTCAAACCCTGGTCACCTCATTGGAAGGCGAATGTAGTTTTCAATTAAAAATACCGGAATTTTTTAGATTATACAAAAATCTCCGGTTGTAACTATCTGTTCGAAAAACAATGTTAAATTGCAATGAAATTACCTCAAATCGAACTATATTTGAAAAATTTATTATTCTAATGCCATATTCGAAACTCATTTGTTGAAATAATATCTTCTTAACGATATCAGTTGGAAAAACAATATGAATTTGCTATTGAAATCGGCGAAAAATCTTTGACTTCAGTCCCACAAATGTGCTTTCAAAATTTCCGTGACGTATTAATTTTGTATCAAAAATATGGAAAAATCCTTTCCATTCATTGTTGTTAAAGAAAAATAATAAAAAGGATAGACAGAAGTATTTATAAATGTTAAATCCAATCATGGTAAGTGACACCAGATGGCGTATATGCAAGGGGAAAATTGTAGTTGTAGATTTATGTAATTGCAGATTAGTAGTTGTATGTAAGTGCAGACCGATGAACCAACTGTCACCACATCCTTTAACACGTTGAGCGCCACTCTAATTTTACATGGCTTGCCAATCTGGCCACGGTAAATAACTACTAACTAAATTTGCAAATATTAGACGGTTTTTTCTGTTTTTTTAGAAGGTTTATCATGACATATCTGACAAAAGTGGTGAATTTTATATGTCTACGAATTGCTTAAAAATAGTGGTGGATAAAAATCTACTAAATTCAATTTATTAAGCTAAGAATCACTATAATTAAGTAAATTTTGAATAGATTTTCTGCAATTACATAAAAGAGTGTAAATTTTATTGTTCTATATCATGTTATACGCTGTCAGCCAGCTACTTTTAGCTGCCTATGTGAAAGGTCAGTGTCAGCAAGCTGTGGCAGATGCAGCCTAAATGTAATTTCAGAGTTAGCCACCGGTGGTTGACGCAGCCTAAATGTAATTTCAGTGTCAACCACCGGTGGTTGACGTGGCCTAAATGTAATTTCAGAGTCAGCCAACGGTGGCTGAATGGAAAGTCCAGCGTCAGTCACCGATGACTGACGCGGCGCTCAACGTGTTAATAAAATTGTTTGTTTTAAAATAAAGTCACCTAGCATTACTTATAACCCTTTTATACAGTCGAAAGCTATCGACGACCTTACAATATAGAATAATCGACCCAATTTCCCATCGAAATTTTTTCCTGTCACGTGAACTCGGGGAGTTTTGACAAAGCATTAGCGTAAAATTTTTTTATATTACTACCCGCTAATTCTCAGATAATACACATTTTTAAAAGTAAAAACATAACTTTGAAATAACGGATAGATTTTTTTTATTATTTTGACATTCTTAAAAAAAATTCTTAATATTTCACAAATTTAAAGTAAATTCGTTATATTTCCGAACTTTTTATTATGTTGTATTTAGTATTTCATTCATTTTTATCATAAGCATTTCAAATGTAAATATTTAATTTTTATACATGGATGTATTCAACAAAATTTCGAATTTGGAAAAAAAAAAAAAAAACAGCCGGGAAGGTGTTAATCTTTTCATTGTCCACCAACAATTCTCGGAACCCTTATTTTAACCAATATTAAATTGACCACCTGTCCATGTATTAAATTAAAAGTTCACATAATGTATAAAATATGGCTCAGTGGTTAAAGCACTGAACTGTCCTTGAGAAGAGCTGGGGTTCGATCCCCGATGGCAGCTTGAAGCCCATCCAGTTTCAGATCGATAGGTACCAGGTTGTATGGAAGAAGGCGGCCTATGCGCAGTGCTGATCTTATTGTCCCAATCATACCGTTGGTCACGAAATTATTGAGCCATAACATGTATGACCACCTGGCCCACAACAGGCTGTTGTGGGAATGCTTTTTCTTTATATTGTGTAAAATAGAAATGAACAGTTTATGCAATTCCTTATATTTCATATGCAAGCGAATTATGATAATATTTTTGACTAAAACTAAATATTTTCGAAGCAAAATCATCTTTAAGTCAAAATAACATAATTTTTAATTAATTTTTTTCTTTCTTTTACACGTTATTTTATTCTAATAGATTTAATATATTTTATCATTAATGATACAAATAAGAGCCAGCAAACTCTTATGAATCACTTATTAAACGTTATATTAAGGGGAAAAACAAAGTGCAAAAAAAAAAATTTAATGAAGGAATGTTTTAACCATATTTAATTTTTAGGACCCATTCTCGGATGGGCTTAAAATTGTTTAGAAAAAGAGATGAATCCCACCTGTTGATTCCTGATTGCAAACTCTCCTTTGCCAGGTTTGACTTTTTGAAAAAGCATCCACTTTTTTAGTATCACATTATCATCTTTATCCTTCTCATAATCTTGGCTTTTTTTTGTTGGAATTTCGTCTCCAATTTTTTTCTCGAAGTAGAAAGACATGCAAGCTGAGTAGTCCCTGAAAAAAATTGAAACATTTAGTACCAAAAATTAGAAAGAAGCAAAGTAATGTATGCAAAAATGAAGAAAGAAAACACAATATACTAGTACGTTATAGGCCATGGCTGTCCAACTGCAAAGATCCCACGGACCAGAATTCCGGTCACTGATCACCTGGCGGACCGCAGTTTGAAAAAGTTGAACAATAACCTCTTACCTCTTATACAATAACAATTGATAGCTGAATTATTAATTACAAAACAATGGAACAGAAGGATTATAAAACAATATGATTACATTTTAATGGGAAAACTGAGGCCGATCAGCCTGAATAAGAAGTTGGCGGGCCGCCAGTTGGACAGCCCTGTTATAGGCTAAACTTATTCCGCACAAGAACAGCAAAACGCAACACACGCGTGTATATAATATCGCTAATATGCGAAAATAGTGGCACAACTCTAATAACACGCATTTTGAGCTAAAAACTGGTGTAAATATGAAAATACACATTCTTTCAGCAGCAATACTAGCATAAGTTATAATTCAACTTGAAGGTAATCTTCGTTTAAGCAAACTAAAGCATTTCTCACGCATTTTGCTTAGCAATGAAAACTTTAAACCCACTTATCTCAACACTTGATTTATATATATATA